AGCAGCTATATGTTGCGTTATAGTTGACCGCATAACTAGGATAAAATGCGTTGATTCTCTGGACCTCACAATCAAAGCTCATTTTGAGGCCGGGCAGGCTAAAAACCTTGTCTATATCTATACTGCGAAGTCGGTTGACGAAAATATTAGACGAGTTGTCTTGATAGCTATAGAGGATGATATTAGGCTTTTTAGATTTAACCATGAGGCTGAAAGTGGCCTTGGCCTCTCTCACAAGCTGATTATCGTCAGATCCCTTAGGCAAATAGGGCAGCATATCAAATAAACTAGCATCATCAATAGCCAGTTACTAGTTTATATCTAAGACTTACCTCAATACGGTACGTAGACATATTCATCAGCTTAGATAAGATAAACTAGGATACCCGACTATTCCGTCTAGCGCAAATTACTAGGTATAACTGCACCAATGCTCTAGATTAGTCTACAAGTGTACAAGCACGGACGTGTACGAACCACTAGCTTCCTTTTGGGTAGATAATTTAGTGATAGTGATCCAACGATAAGAATCTCTCTTTTTATTGGTGCAACTGACTGCTATTCATGTCAAGAAAGATTGGTCTATCCGATACTATAATAGGCCCTTTTCAAACTATAAATCGAGCTTGTCAGTGAGCTAAGTGTGGCTCCTCAAATTCTCACCCCAAACCCCCATCACAAGGCTAAAGTGCTAATTCCAAGACACAAAATAGCTAAACGTAAATCAGTATTCCCAATGAGTTTGTACGGAATGAGGACAACAAGATCTTGGTGTGGGAGCTGTATATGAGGGTACGAATACAGCAGTGCCATCATGCTCATCTAAGTGTATACCCACAGGAAGCCAAACCCCTTTTGTTAGAGGGGTGTTGTTGACTTTGTTTGTCTATCCAAAAACATATTTTTCTCCTTCTATTACCTCTGTATTTATCCAGAGTTTGGGCTTGACCAGCGCCACCATAGCCCCTGCATACCATCTTTGACTATAATCCCCAATGTAAAACTGCAGAAGAAGAGTAATGTATGCAATTCTCGCTATGATAATCCAAAGCCTATATCCAGCAATAAATGAAGTGCACCAGAGAGCATAAACACACACAATGTGTGTATATATCGCTCCACTAGACTTGGTTTCAACAACTGTAACAAGTCTTTTGTTACTATAGTCGCCACTGCACTGAACGACCATCTTAGGTACTGGTGCCAGAAAGTACCCCAGAACCAGCGAAGTATCCATACCTCAAACATACTGTTGAAAGACAGCAGCCAGTCTTCGGGAGTTGAGAGGCCACTAACAATAAATATGATGCTGAATAGCCGATACAAGCAATCAACAATCACACAACTAATAACAAACCAAATAATCAGACCAATACCGATACACACTTTAAGTTATTCTATGCTTGCGGAGAGAAAGAGAAACTCAATACCTAGGCCTCGAAGGCGGACTTGGTCTCCAGGCGATCGACTATACAAGACTGCACACAAAAAGTCCAAAAATATGTGCTACCACGCAAAAATTACGCACTATCTTAGAAGGAAAAGCAAGTGGCTTGGTTTTCGTGAGCCATAGAAGAATAAAAGGGACAGGATGTTCTTAGCCTACCACTCGGTTCTTATTCCTCTAACACTTAACACCAAGAACAGAGCATTCTGTAGATTTGTGTTTTCGCCCTGTGGTCGTAGTCTTAATCCACGCCCCAAGTCCACAATGTCGATTTTTAGAATAAGGAGGATGTTCAGGGAGTGGATAAAACAAACAAAACATTCCATCCCAATCCACATGTTCCACATAGGACTGTTATTGAGAAACGGTGTAAGAATAACTTATACATAACATAGAAACATAAGAATGAAGATACTAATGAGTCGCAGACAGGAGTTTTTGGACGTATATGTAATAAAAAGGGTGTTAATGAGGTAGTGTAAGAGATAAACAGTACAAGGGAGTAGCCAGGCGATAAAACCAAAGGAAGCTAGCAATATAAATATCATAGCACTAGTTATCAAACTAGCAATCAGCTAAAGCTAATAAAGAGGCGACAAATATATCAATAGTTATCAATCCAGAGTAAGAGATTTTAGCGGTTGATAGAAAGCTCTCTGAGGCGGGACAGGTTTGTTCGATAAAGTAACTGTCTAGATAACATAACTCTTACTCATTCTGCTTGCAGATATTCAATCAATTACCAGGTCTAAACACAATTGGTAGTAGTATTATAATATTAGCAACTAAAAATCCTATCCTAGGGATCTAGAAAGCTTATTAATACCTGACCTGTTTCCGTACTGATAGCTGTAGCTAGGTATATACAAACATCCTTACCCGGCGGTCCCTACTGTCAACCACTAAACCTCCAAGTAGAGGTAATGCTGATATATCAAAAATCAGTAAATAATTAAATTACGCTTACACGTCACGAGCTAGTTTATTCCCAGCACAAAATTCACCTAAATTCCTCACATGTACATCACCGTCCAAGCTTATTTGGTCTTCTCTTCAAAGGATTTCTCATACCAACTTTTACTAACTATCATCATAGATATCTACACGATGGCTAGCCCATTATAGGCCTTTTTCACTTCTATGGTCTTCTTCATTTTATTCGCTTTCTACATCCATCAAAAATTTTTCCTTGCGGGAATAGTACCAAGGGGGGTGCTGTGGGCTAGCATCTAGAATCAGGTATTTGTATGCACTTATGGCCTAGCCACTACATTTATTAACCTCCCAAATCTACTCTTACAGACCCACAGAATAGTTTTAATTCTCCCTTTCCACCCATTTAATAGTACTAGCTGATACCCACTACCAGTTTTCGTCTTGAGGGTTTGCTTACATTATATCTACTTTCACTAATAGGCCGGTTATTGTACTACCACAGAGCAGTATTGGATGGCTTATCAGGTAGCCTCCACACTTACTAGACTTCGTTGCAAGCCAAAAAGAGCAATTTCAAATGGACTATACCCTGCCTGCTACAAAAACTATACACAAGCCACTATATGCAAACCTGATATATACAGCTTTGAAGCGAAATAGTAGTTCAATTGTTCTTAAAGTTCATGATGAGATATAATGAACCTGTGATGAAGCCTAGGGACTGGATACCAAGCAGTAGAAATCTATATACCTATATGATAATGTGCTTAATAACATCGTCTCCGCATCCAACAGAATGTTTGTTGGCTTTCCTTTATATAAGTAACAACCTCAAAGTTCTTTCACTTACCAGCGCTCAGGTAAAGCTCATAATATTCTCAGGCCGAAATAGGAATTATCTAAGTATAATATTACAGTACATTGAAGTCTTTTTCCCAGCGGCAATGGCAGTCAAGTTTCTCCCCTCATTTCTGCGACCAATATTTGGAAGACTCATCAAAATACTAATCCAATATCTCTCTCACCAATACACCAAACACACATTACCAATTGTGAAACAACATCTAGCCTATATAGACCGTACAGGAATTAGGTCCGATAATAAATACATACCTTCCAACACATTCGTCACATAGTATATCCAAGAGACTCAAAAGAATTTAAACACGGAGAAAGCTATAAGCCCAGAGATTCTTACATCCATACTCATATCTACCAACTTCACTACGGTTCACAATACCGCTATCATAAGCACTCATACAATACTATGCATCGTCGGAGCCGATCCAAAACAAAAGATATTAGAGGATCTTCGCGAGGAAATTGAAAGTGTGTTACAAGATGCTAATGGCACTTAGAGCAAAGCTACCCTGGCTCAAATACACCGCCTTAATAGCATCATACACAAGGCCTTTCAGCTTTATGACGTCAACACACTAAGTCTTCGACGGTTAGCCATAACCGATCTTATAACCGATAATAGTCTTTTTCTCAAAAAGGGTACTGCGATTGCTGTTTCAGCTTATGCCGTACACAGAGATCAAACACAATACCCTGATGCAGAGAATTTCAGCCCTTTCCGTTTTTAGAGGTCTCTAAGGGAAAAAGCGCCGGCGAACCCACACACAACCTCTAGTCTTAATAAGTTAGACAAGGATACAAACCAAAATAACAGTACTTCTATATCTGAGACCTATCTAACCTTTGGTTACAATCGGCACATAAGTTACTACTGATATTCAATTATTGGTTCTGGAAACCTCTCTTCTAATACCAAATTACTCATAGTCATGCCCTAGCCGTTGGTTTATTTCAACACAGCTTAAAATCTTCATTTCTTATGTCTTGTTGAATTACAATATTCAACCCGTTACTCAACAGCCTACAAGCTAGTGGCTAGGATCTCTCAGGATTCCCCCAGCGAAAACAAATATAATGATTAGGAGGAGGGAATCACACTAGGACATGATCTTCTTCTTCTTCCTTTACAATTCTACCTATATCTATTCACATGTAGGATATTACATACCACCAAAGAATTTGAAACTAAAAACAAGCTATGTTCTCTAATTCCTACAACAGCAGCAATCTCCATCGCAATTAATTAAGAACGCTGGCATAATTATACTTTCAAGGAACAGATCGGCACAAAGACAAGCAGATACTGTTCATACAATAGTCTTTTGCCTAATAGAATAGCATCAATGCTAGCTAGCCTAGCACCTTCACTATCAGTAAAGCTAGGCACTTATTGTACACAGATATTCATAGTATCAGATACATCACATAACCACACAAGCTTGTTATTGTAATGAAACTCAGCCATATAAGCCACATACATATTTCAAAGCACTTCTAGCCCATGCTGCAGACCTTGCTGCTGTACCAATCGTAAAAATCGCCCAAGAGCCATCATTAGGAAATAATATAGATATAAAGAATATCCCAAATAAAAATGATTAGAGAACCCGGTTCCGGTATATTAAGATTCCAACCAAGTTACCTCAATATCATCATTCGACATAGTTTATGTCCGCACCAGATATTGGACACCATCTTGGACTGCTTTGTCCAATACAGGAAGATATATAAGCAACCCTATGAGCGCCCATACAATTTATAATACTGTTGAGGGGCTATTACCACCAAGCTTAATGTCTTTGTAGGATATGAGAGTTTCACCCCATCCACCATCGTGATTTTGATTCAGCTTCAGCCAATCAACCACAGACTCCATGAAGCCTTTAATAACATCGTTAATCTCAATGGTCCCGGTTTCTTTTTCAACAAAGTATGTTAGGCCACAAAGCACATTACTCGTGCCGTAGATATAGTTAGAGCCCCAGCGGCCATACCACACTCCAGTAGGCTCCTGGCTATAAGCAAGGTAGTCAATGGTACGGTTGCAAGCAAGGCTCATGCGGTCGATAAGACCATCAGAGACTTTGGCACTATGGCCGGTAATTAACATTTACATAAGCAGACCAAAAGCCTCCAGGATACAGCCTATAACATCTACAGTTAATAGATCACAGAGGCTATCCATATCACTAAATAGGATTTTATTCAAAAATAGGCTATCATTATTAATATCGAATGCACCCTAACCTCTATCCTGGTTTTACATCCCAAGAATCCACTCCACAGCCTGTAATACAAAAAAGGAGCATCTTGACTGTGGGTCGTGTTTGATCATAGCAAGAACGGTTGCAGTAGTATCATCAACATCTAGATACCATCTGTTGAAGTATTTAAAACTAAAACCACCTAGAGAAATATTAGGTTTATATATCCGCCAGTCACCCTCCAGTCCCAAGAACTAATGAGCCTTGATCCAGTCTACCCCAACTAAGAGGCCATTATTATGACCAGCATCACAAAGACCAATGGTTATCAGGATCGTATCCCAAATAGGGGATAGACATGCTTAAATTCTTTTCCCACGCTTATCATACCATGAAAACCACTCAATAGCTTCCAGGCTGCTCTGAACTACAGTATAATCAATTAAAAATCCCTCGAGGGTCAGCGCAAGAATACCAACATACATCGGGGGAAATATTCCAGCCCAGTCTCCCTCTTTTTCTTGATGTTCCAGAATCCATTCAATACACTTTCTCCGAGCATATCCACAACTAGGTAAATATCGCAGACCGCCAAACCAACGAAACACCATATCAACTGCAGTAAATATAAAAGATATGGCATCTGTTTTGCATGACTCCCATAGTGGCAGGAAGTATAGTACCATCTTATTAGAGGGATCCACCCACAATTCATCTAGGAAATCGTTCGTTTCTGATCTTCTATTTGGAAGAGAATATATTAGACAGTGATAAGCTACGATCAATAAAGGAACAATTATACTACACACCCAAGATAACAACCGGTAGATATTGATCGGCGCAATTAAAAACAGCAATATGAACTCTGCTGGTAGTTCTGGTACTGCTTCCCAGGGGAAAAAACCAAATATAGCCAAATAGATTCGCGTGAAGATACAGACCTTGGCAACCCCGCCAGCAGAAACGATAAAGCAACGGGCTTACTACATCAGTACCTGGTCAGGATAGACTCCCAGCAGCCTCAGTACAAGATATGCCTCGGTTGAAGCTGAAATGTCTCCGGGATAATCAGGTGCTATAGCCCAGGCGCCGTTTTCATTTTGCTCTGAAAGAAACCATATAATCAATTCCTTCCAATCAAGCGACAAGTTAAGACCTAAAGCCTGTCACAACATCACGTATTCAGCGGTAATGATAGCGTTGGACTTGAGCTCGCCACACCAGTGGCCATCTTCATACCTTCTATTAAAAGAGTGTTTTGCGGCTACCTGGAGCGTATGCCCAGCATTGTATATGAGACACTTGTGACTCTGATAAGAATAGACCGTTAAGGTGCAGGTTTTGACTTGACGTTGTAGTTCTATGCTAATAACAGTTTGAACCAACATCTTGATAGCATTTAGATAATCAAGTTCTGAATTTATCACTCGGGGGAGGTTTTTTAGTTTAGTTACTATCTTCTGGCGGGGGAATCAAGCTACTTCAACACAGCATGTCATAATCATTTAGCAGATACTCAGGAATTACCAAGACATCCACTACCAGAAGAGAATGTTCTAGACCACATTCTTCTATACATTCTCCTTAGTAGTAGGGAGATATACTATTCTAGTCTAACCCCTTAGAGCCAAGCCATGCTTAAGAACTCAAGTCTTCACGTCACAGCTTTTTATTCGCTTTAGTTATATATCACAAGCCTAAGTATAACTCCTACCTTATCCTAAGGTTTAGAAGAAACCTACTGTAACCCTAATGTAATATAGGCGGTCATCAGCTTTACCAGCTTATTTCTTTCTAAGCTAACTTTTGATGTGGATAGGATATCTAATCTTAAATTATAATACCATTTCTACAGATTTAAGTGTAAGAAGAACTTCAAAATAAGAATTTTTGGTTCTTGCTATAAACATCTTGGGAATAATTCCGATAGTTTGGCTTTATTCCCAATTTGTACTAGCCTCACATCACAACATATTATATTCACTTATCGGGAAGCCAAAAGTAAAACAAAGTGACATTGAACAATAAAACATATTAAAAAAAAAGAAACAAGACTACAGCCCTTGACGAAGAATAATATATCTAAAATAGATACTCTTAGGTTAGTAGCTCTCATAAAATAGTTAAAAAAAAGAAAAAACAAAAATAAGAAGAAACGTTCAAGCTCAAGCGTAGCTCTTATTCCAATTTCCCTTTGGTATACGAATGAGCCAGTATATAAAAACTGTTGTTGTAATGTTAAAAACGATGTAAATCCACATAAAGCCGAAATTTTGTTAGGTATTCTTGTAGTAGCTACATATACCGGCAAGGAAAGTATTGGTATTTTTAATATTGCAAAAGGAACACTCAATAGTAGCGTCAGGATTCTGGAGGTAGCCGTCTTTTTAGAAAATATAAGGACTCATATAAGATACACAGGTTTCACCGGTCGGAGGGTCAAAGTAAAGATATTTGATGGGCTTGTAAACAACATCTATACCTGATACACCAGCGGAGAGCATCACTAAGACAAGATATATAAAAGGAGAGACGCAGTATATAAAAATCTAGAAATGAGGCATTTGGTCCAGGATAGCGAGGACACCACAGAAGATCAGGCAGACAGAGAAGATCAGGTTCGCTAGGTTACCGCCCATCTCTACAAGCTCGACTCCGGCGATTATCATATAGACAAATATAGAAGTAAACAGAAGAAATACCAGGATCAGCAGGAACATTAGGGTACCGCGTTCGAGGACGGAGTTCACATCAGTAACAGAATTAGACTGGGTGTTGCGGTAGAGACCTATTGGGTAGTACCAACAAACAAAGATAAAAACAGCCATAAGTATATTCCAAGACAGTTCCACAAGAATATTCACAATTATGAATGCCTTCTATGAGTAGGCCTTTGACGGACGTTCTTGTGCTTTGTACAAAGAACGTTGGGTGATGAAATGAGGTATAATTTGCTGGGTTAGGTTACCAAAGATAGTCATAAACATAAAAACACTAAACATCTAGTTCTGAAGACCCTGGATATTATTATGTGCTTTAAAAAACAAAAACCCAATATAGAGGGCCGTAAGTATCAAAAGAGCTGACTTGGAGTAAATATAGACAGGAGTTCACCAATATTGACTGAACACGTAAACGAGACACTCCCAGAGTTAAATAAAAAACGGAGCAATAAACTCCTTGTATCTATAGACACCATCGCTGGTTGGCTTTATGGGTTTTTGAGAAAGTGTCGATTTTAAACCCGCTAGGTGATTCAACACTTCTTTACACTCTGGGCTTTGATGCCATACGGCAGGCCAATCACAATTACTATGGGATCCAGGAGCAGTACTAATGACTTTAAGCATCTACTCAACGGGGTTGGCCTCAGGAGACAATAAACGCACTCTATTCCTTTTAAAGTAGCTAGAAAGTGTTGAGGATTTCTCTCTAATTTCCCTGAAGTAGATTGTCTTGCTACCCTTAGTAAGAAAAAGTAGGTAGTCAAAACGTTGGAAGAGTATTGTAGAGGGCTGGTGGATTGTGTAGAGGATAGCCTAGCTATGTTTGGTGAGGGTATTAATAAGATTGAGAATGAACCAAGAAATCTGACTGTTAAGGCTGGATGTGGGTTCGTCAAGGAAGAGGAGTAGCTGTGGCTTGGCGACGAGCTCAACAACAATAGTTAGAAATTTACATTACTCGACGTTGAGATCTTTACCGGGAATACTGACGATGGCGTCAGTATAGTGGTTCATACTAAGAAGTTTGATCACCTTCTCGATATAGTTAAGCTTTTCTTGGTGATTGGTATGGGTGGGTTAGCAAAGAACAGAACTAAAGCGGAGTGCCTTGCGGATAGTGGTAGTGTGGAGATGGAGGTCCTATTACTAGATATAACCAGTCTTTCGCTAGAAAGACTGGTCGCGAGGCCAACCATTAACCAACATTTCCCTAAAAACAACACCTATAGTCACACAAATAGCAAGAACATCCAGAAGAGTGGTTTTACCAGCTCCAGAAACACCTATAAGAGTAGTGCAGGTACCTGGTTTAACCTAGCTATCGACATGGTTGAGAATGTGACGTTCATTATTTTTCATCTTGATGTTATAGCAGATATCTTGCTAATGGAAGATAGCAGTTTATCTTGTGATACTCGTAATGACTTCACCCTCTGTGTCTACACCGTCCTTCTTCTCGGCTAGGGTTACAACATAAGGCGCCTCGATATCACCCTTAGAGCTACCAGAGTGCTTAGGGATGTGGCTGCGACGGAAAAGCAGTACCTCACCCTTAGACTTAGACTCGGAAATATACTCAGTACTAATAAGGTAGGTAGCCGTAAAGAAGATCATGAATCTAAACATGATACCCAGGTTCCTCCACTTATAGCTATTAGAGTACTAGAAGCTATCAATGAAATAGGCATCGCCATTAATGAAGTTCTGACCGGACTGGGCTCCCTTCTACAAGCAGATCTTGTTGATAAGAAAGACATCTGTATAAGACTCCCCAGACGGGACCAAAGAGCCCAAAGAGCACTTAAAATCCCAGCCATGGAACTTGTTCACTATTAAGGACTTGAAGCCATAAGTGATCGGGTCAATGTAGTTTATCCAGCAAGACCAGCGAAGTATGTTACGCGTTGGAATAATAAAACCGATATAGATAACCAGACCCAAGATAAAGATGGCCGCAGGCACCAGAGCCTAAGATAGAGTACACAAAAAAACAGCGACGGTACGGAAGATCAGGGATATAATCAGGGTGATCAGAAGGGAGAAAAACAAGAAGATAAAGAAAGCGCCAGGGGTTTAACAAAGACCAGTCATGAAATAGAGCAGGATATTGAAAGTCACTGAGTTAAAAAGCTTGTACGGCATATCACACAGCATCAACGTGATTGTTTCAGCGAATAGATGATACATGGTGTAGCAAGTTTGCTTTTTAACAATAGGACGTTGGGCATAGAGAACCAAGATCTCCAGAGCACTGGAGAAGACGTTGAGCAGGACAACGAAGAAGATAAGGGCACCACGAGAATAGAAACTGGTCACGTCGTTGGGTAATTGAAAGAAAATCAAGCCAATAATCAAAGCTATTATGAAATTTCCAATCAGAGCAGACAAGGCCAAACTCACATCACTCTTCAAACGCTGGAAACCCCAGATTATATATAAGTAGACTTAGTTAGAGATAGATATGGTATAAGAAGACTTAACCCACTAGTTTTTGGACTGTATAGCCTTACAAGGCTCGACGAACTTCTGCAAAGATTCGCCACCAATGGAGTACTGCTCATTAAAAGCGGTAATGTCTTGTATGAGCTATTTATGCGCATCACTATTCTTCCAGACAGCTACAAACTCATCGGGGGTACAGGGGACTGTATTCTTAAAGCTAGGCTTAACAATCTACTTAGTAAGGTTAGTAAGCAATATCAAGAAATCGGCAGTCGTCTGACGCTTAGGGCACTAGAAGCCTATCTTAACAAAGAAATCCTTGGTATTAAGAGTATGGCCGAAGTAGATCTATCGGCCCTTATACAACACAATCACTTTATCGAAAATATTGTAGATACTCTAAGAGGCTTGGTAAATAGCCATAGTGTAAGTAGTACCAGAATACTTGGCCATTAGATTCAAGGTCTTACAGAATTCCAAGGCGTTCACACTATCCAAACCACAGGTACTATTATCCCAGTACTAGAGAGGACTACCGCAAAGGATAGCCTCTGCTAGACTGACGTGCTTCCATTCCCCACCAGATACACCACAGACGAAGTCGTTACCAACACAGGTATCTATTATATGCGATAGGCCCAGCATAGCCATAACAACATTATGTATATACTCTACATACTGCTCCCGGGTAACACCCAGCAGGCAGTTTTTTAGAGTACAAGATAGAGCCACAAAATTTAAAGTGTCACCCACAGAGAGCTAGAGGAAATACACATCTATTTCGGTGATATAGATAGCCTCACCGCGAAATTAGCTCTATATCTTCTTGTCGGAGATACCTTAGTAGTTAATACAAGAAGCACGATCTTTAAGAGTACCGTTTATTTCTCCAACAATTATCTTCAAAAAAGTAGAACAACCAGACCCGGGACAGCCGAGGATAACCAGCATCTCGCTACCCTTGATTAGACCATCAAAGTCATACAGAATCTGGATCTTGTTCTTTCCACTGCCCATAAGTAAACAGATCAAACCTTCAATCTACAGGACTAAGTTAGCTACATCCCTTTGGAAATCCGTTAGACTTTTAACCCCGTGCACACCGAGGTTCTAAAACGTTAAGCCTACCTAGCGCTGCAGATAGTTGTTAGGGTCGCAGGAGGTGATTACCAAAATGTTCTTCATCCAATACTCAGCCTTGAAGTTCTTACTATATGGGTTCAGGGTTGAGTACTCTTTGGCTACCACAAATATGTTTTCGTTGGTGTTAGTCGAGATAGAAGAACCCGTTGATTGACGGGTAAGTTGTTGGGCCAGATGAGTAACCTCAGCCTCAATAAAGTCCTTATGTCTAATCTCATTAGCTTTCTTAAGAGTAGTGTCATCGGTGCTTATGCTGCCTGCGGGATAATATCGGCGGCCTTCTGTAGTCGCCATATTAGTTTCCACCACATCATAGGTAGTAGTGGTGACGTTGGTGTTGAAAGGCCCCAGGAGCGACATAGTGACTTACCAACACAATAGTTAAGGGACACTAAGTTTTCTGGGTATTTACACCTACAAACAGACACATAGATAATCAGAGAATCGTCACCGAGAGAGATAATTGCCAATAGAATAGCGCAAGTAATATACCTAAAAGCGACTAAGATTAAATCAAGTATATAGCCAAAAAAGGACAAGGAGAAGAAATAAACAACAAACAAATAGTAAGTACGGGGAGAACCAAAGAAATTGAGAACTATGATTAAGAGGACAATTAAGAATGGCGAAAGATTTACGTCTTTATACAGACGAATATGGGGTACTTACCGTCAACAAGTCAACCGGGGTAGAGCTAGTGTTGTTATTGATTATTATACCGTGGAAAAAGGCTAAGCAAATATTTTAGGTTCTTTATCTAGAGTAGCGCTTCGCGACGTACTTACTTAATTCCACTATTTAGACACCTAGATTCACTATGCTAAGGCGCCAAACACTTCGTTATTAAGTATTTACATCATCAATTATCGTTCTAACATGATGCGGCATGGTTTCCGATAAATACCTTTAATCTAGCTGCTACCAAGCCTCCTATACAGTAAAGCATCCCAACTGTGGTTGCCATAGAGATAGTATTAGCATATACACAAGATCAGGGTAAGCTCTTATACATTCGCGTATTAGCAACGCCTGAATATTTTTGATTGAATTCAAAATGGCAAATACAGTAGCCATACCATCCATCACCTAAGGCCCCATATCTCCTAGAACATCACATACAACTCGGGCGACATGCGCAAGCACATTATCAAGCTAAAAATTACCGCCTGTATTCAATACTAGAGTAGGTCGAAATCAAGAGCTAGGGCTAGTATATACCATATCAGCTAGTCAAACAGATCATACAATTTTTCCACCAATAAAACCTAAGGTGATAAGGGGGTAAGGAGCACAGGGTATCAAACCCCTTATCTACGTCACAGTACATTTACCCGAAGCATATATATAAAGACGTCATGCCCGGGTCTATACAACTCGATATC